TGGTTTCTTTGATGTTTTTTTCCCAAAGTTAATATTGGAAAAGTACATATTTGCGTCAACCTAGCAACAGATACACAAATGGCGAAAAGAAATAAGCATAAACATCACTCGCCCAGTGTCCTTAACAACCGAATATTAACTTTAATATATCAAATATAAAACACACATCTATCATTGTCAGTCCCATGATCGAGTGTGGTCGCTGCTCAACTGGGTAACCCTGCCATCTTCCTCACATGTGTCTCGCTTGCGTGCCAATAGTTGGGTATCTTAGAAGGATATATAACTCCATTCATTAGCATCGTCAGTCCATTTGCCCTGCGTCCTCGGTATGACGATAAACTACATCCGCGTCCGAGGTATGACGATAAACAACGTCCAACAGCAAGGCCTCGGATCAGGAGGTTTTGAGGAGCATGGAACCACCTCTTAATTGGTGGTGTTCCCAGGTCCACCCTGACCCGGGGTGGTAGCACCTGTTAGGGTCCCAGCTATGGGCAAATAGTTAACCCTAAAACTGAGGTAAAAAGCATTATAAACGTGTAAAAATAGGGTTTAATACCAGAAATACTTTGTAAAAAATTATTACCAGAAATAAATTTTAAAAAACTGTTACCAGCAATACGTTTTTGAAAAAAAAATCTATTACCAGCAATACGTTTTTGAAAATAACATTACCAGCTATGCAATTTTGAGGAAAAATATTTCCAGAAATATATTTTTGACAAAGCAAAAATATTACCAGGAAAAAAGTTGTCCGCATTAAATGACCGATTGAGGTTGATATACCGTAAAATAAAGCAAACCAAAGAAACCAAACCATTTGTCCTGCCTTCCTCTTCTTCTGTGGTACGCTGTATGTGGTACTCATGATGTGACCATATCATTTCTCTTACGATGACTGACTTCCAATGGACCTGTTTTTTGTCTGATGGTGTTTTTCACGATCATTTCTGATGCAATATATATCGTCAGATATCTAGGATGATTCTGTAGCATATCATTTCTAATGCTCGATTCCTTCGCTGTCATTCTGCCATTAATGTCCAAGATCAGCAAGCGTACAAAAAGATTGAGAAGGACAATGCACCCAACAGAGTCTCATTCTTCAGCCAGATGTTCTTGTCTTTCCAGATAGTTGCAAACGCTTCCATTGTGTTGCCCTTAAAATTATTTTTTCTAGGAGCTCATTAACCATAACTCTATTAAGTGCAATAATTGGTGTAACAGCGATTTACTATTAGTAAAACAATTTATCTGATTATTCAGATGTTAGTATCTGATTGTAGATTTTACAAGCATTCAATTCCGTGTCATGCCAGTGATATGAATCATTTCAAAATAACTGACAATAATTATTAAATACAGGGAAAGTTTGATTCATGCCTTTCACAATTATATTCGTACTAAAAGAGACATAAATTATGCGAATTTCTAACTCAGTCGCCAAGAACATTTTTCATGTGACTACACAATCTTAAATAGCGAAACAACCATTTTTTTTAGTGTTTAGTATTATAACTAAAACAGAAATAAATTTAACTTTGTGGATGCATCAATAATGAATTCGACGCTCCGAATATGGTAAAACAGAATCTGTAACACGTTGGGAAAATGGCTGAGCGTGGAGAAAAATGTCGCGTTTGTATAAATAATTCGGTAAATATCAAAGTGTCAAGTGAATCCAGACACCAAGTCCTTCGTTCAGAAGTAAATGTAGACTTCTGCTGGTGACCATAATGATAGTAGATATTATTTATTTGGCGAATTATTGATTTTTTACTGTTTGGTGGAGCCATGAATTAAAGACGCTTATATTTCGAATGTCCTGGAGGCGTTGAATAGAGATCACGCCATCACAACACTCGCCGTTGCAGCTGCGCTTCCTGTAGCATGTAGGTGTTTACATGGCACTGTTGATAACCCCAACCCAACCAGTTTTCAGAATTGTCTTTCTTCTAGACTGGTTATCAACCAAGACTAAAATGGTCAGTTTACCCCCAGCTGGAATTTGAACAAGAGAAGCCAATCCAACTTTTCGCGCCAATAAACTATTTGCCATGCACACGCCCAAATAAAACGCACTTTTAAAATCAAAACAGTAGCCTTGTAAAATATACTTAATTATGACACAAATGAGGCAAAGAATAAATGTGAAATTTTGCGACTTACTACCATACTTAGTTAACCGTTAACTGTATCCATAACGGTACCTCTTTGTTAAGCATTCTTCTGTGGGTGAAATGTGTATAATCTAGTGCTGGTAAATACGCCCAATTCAAGGATTCCACACCACTGCTACCATACTGTTCTTATTGTATACTGTAGAATCATCCTTTCTTATCACGTTCATAAAGACCACAAAACACGTTCTACAATTTTCACCTACGCTGGGAAAATCAAATCATGACAACGTAAAACTCTCGTCTAACAAAGATTTATTTTTCAGTAGGTTTTCCAAAGGTCAGCATTAATAACAGATCACCTCGTTATAGATACAATGGTTTCTTTAAAAAAAAGAAGACATTCAGCATTTTGCATTAGCGAATTCCTTTAGAGGACAATATGTGATACTGATAGAGAATTCCATTAGCATAATAGACTTCCATTTCGTTTAATAGTTGATTCCACTAAGAAGAATGATCACGAACTTGAAAACGGACATATCCCAGATATTCATTCTGCTGTTCAAAACGAGTGGGGCAATATTTCTTCAGTTTTCATTTATACTTCCACAAACATTCTGAAGTTTAGTCATTGAAATACTATTCCGTTACTGCTGAACGAGTGGACAATTTCCTCGCCTTGAAATTCCTTTTAAGACCTAGAAACAGGAGAATAGTAAAAGAACTGTTTCGTAGGACGGCTTTTTCATGCGCCTAAAGCCTACATATTTTAAAGCAGAGAGACAATTTTTCCAAAGACCGGGTTGGGGTGGGTGGAGAATAATCGGCTTCAATGTCAGGTGCTTAACAAAACGCAAAAAACAAGACCGCAATCTCTATCTATGTATGTGTGTGTGTGTGTAATGAATGCACGGTCGCAATATTCGACGGATTTGCACCAAAATTTACATGCACATGCTCCAAGTTAGCGAAAAGGCCAAGACCGACTTTGCATTTCCCAACTTCCATCGATAGTGGAAATAATCGATTTTTTCATGCTTCTACGGCAGTTTTCATGTAGTTTGCGGCCCTTTTGTACTGGGCAGAATGAGAGCCTATAGTTGGCTGCCACGAATAGGCAGGAAGATTCTATTGACCAGCATGAGAGCCAACAGCTGGCTGACACGAATGTTAACTAGCATGCTAACATGCAAAAAAAAACGATAGCTGCATTCGTCACAAGTGGGAAAAATTTAAATCTGCAATTTGCACTTTACTCCAATTGGCTCATTCGCTTGCTTAAACTCAACGTTGATTCTGATTCCGCAGAACTGGGTTGGGTGTGAAAAAGTATTTGTTGTTAACATTCTTTTTTCATTCGGTTTTTCCAGTTACAAGACCTTTTTAAAGCTGATTGTTTTGTGTTCAATTTGTTTAGTTCTTTTTCGTAACAGATTTAATGTTTAGTATAGAGTTTAGAAAAAATTCGCAGTGTGAGATAGGCAAGAAGTAAGGCATGTGGCAACATCAGTACGGCAAAGGGCACTCCTTTAAAGGCAAGGAAGGGCAAAAACATTTTAAGTCAAGTGATAGTGATTGCTGTATGAGTCGTACGATTTTTTAATCAAGCACGGGCAACGCCGGGCCATGCTGCTAGTAGCCAATAAAATGAAAAAACAAACAAGAAAAATTTCTATTCTTTCTTTCCGGTCCGGTATCGCATGGTCTGCGTCCTGGTACAACTAGTCTGCGGCCGTGTACAACATTGTGCTCCGGTATCAAATGGTTCAACGCCCGATACTGAAAGGTCCAAGACCCGGTACCAAATAGTCTGCGGCCCGGTCCAAAATAATCCACGATTCGATACCAAATAGTCTGCCGCCCTGTAACAAATGATCCACGGCCCTGTGCCAAATGGCCAAAGATTTTGTACCATATGGTCTGCTTCCAGTACCAATGGTTTGACGGATCAGTACCAAATAGTTTGCGGTCTGGTACAAAACGATCAAGCGTCCGGTACAAATGGTCCGCGGCCCGATGACAAGGGCCCACGGACTGGTACCAAATGGTTTGCAGATCGATACAAATTCTTCACGTCCCAAAACCAAATTATCTGCGGCCTGATACAAAGCACTCCGTGGCCCGGGATCAAATGTTCTCCGACCTGGTAGCAAATGGTCCACGGCTGTGTACCAGATAATTCACGGTCCGCTACAAAATGGTCCACGACCCGGTAACAAATGCTCCACGACCTGGTATCAACTAGTCTGCGGCACGGTACCAAATGATCCACGGATCGGTGCCAAATGGTCCACGGTCAGATAAAAAATTGTCCAATGCCTGGTCATAAATGTTCTGTGACACGGTACCAGATAGTCCACAGCTTGGTACCTAATTTTCTGCGGCCTGGTATCAAGTCAACCACGGCCCAGTATTAAGTTGTCTGCAGCCCTGTTCAAAATGGTCCACGGCGCGGTACCAAACGATCTTCGGCCCCGTACTATATAATCCATTGCCAGGTACCAAACAGTCTAAGGCCTGGTAGGAAATACGGCCCGGTATTAAATGGTACACGGCCCGGTACGAAATGATACACGGCTAAATATTAAATGGTCTGTGGCACGGTAACAAATTGTCCACAGCTTAGTACCAATTGGTCTGCAGCCCGATACCAAATACTCCACGTCCTGAAGCCAAATTGTCTTCGACCCGGTACCAAATAGTCCGCGGTTCGCTTCCAAATATCCTACGACACAGTACCAAATAGCCCTCGGCACGGTACCAAAGGCTCCACGGCCCGTTAGTAAATTGTCCAAGGCCTGGTACCAAATGGTCTGAGAACTGGTACCAAATAAACCACATCTGGGTACCAAATGATCTGTAGTCCGGTTACAGATGGCCCACGGTGCGGTACTAAATGTTCCGCGGCCCCGTATTTATAACCTACGGCCCGGTACCAAATCCTCTGCGGCTCGGTACAAAATAATCCACGGGCCGGTATCAAATAATCTTCGGGGCAGTACAAAATAATCCACGACCCAGTACCAAATGGTCGAGGGCCCGGTATCAAATAGTCAACGACCCGGTACTAAATGATCCACATCCCGATGCAAAAATGGCCACGGCCCAGTAACAAACGGTGCCCGGCCAAATGGTCTTCGGCTCGATACCAAATACTCCACGTCCCGACACCAAATTGTTTGCGACACGGTACCAAACGTACCGCGATCCGATAAAAATGGTCATCGGGCAGATGTTTGGGGACCTCTCATTTAAAGGATACATCGTTTTTTTTTTTCAAATCTTTGAGCAAACAAAATGAGAAACCTTTCGTAACTTCCCACCACCGTTTTTCTTTCAGCGTATCCTTTAATCGGTGCAGTCAGTCATATTCTGAATTTTACCCTTCGTCATTTAAGTGTCTTACAAATACGAAAAATTACCAGTACCAAGAGATTTCCGACTGACTTTTGGGAATTCGAATTTCTTCGTCCGTGAGCTGCCACTACATAAACTGTGGTTCAGTCTTTTGATCCTGAGGTCTATAACCATGTCTCAAGTCGTTTCGAAATAATCGCTAAAAATGCAATAGAATCGATTTGGAAATTTCCATTCACTATTGTTTCTTGGCATCTAAACATTTTGGCACTCACTTGCTTAGCAACGTCTGCGGAATCAACTGCTATAAATCCAACGCGATCCTTGGATAACTAAAGTGCTTCGAGTCATTGATCTGTCCAAATTAGGTCTGGATCAACAATGTTTGGAGTTGAAACCGTTGAAGGTTTCCCAGAACTCGATACTAATTTGGATTTTAAAATCTTTATGCTTGAAATTGGCGCAACACTTCACCGTTAATTAAATGGACACTTATCGCTCAATGTTTGCATCAGACACTTAGAAATTTTTGGGAGGCTTATTTTTATTTGTAGGAACGGTAAATTCACAACAGATCTGGTTTCAGCATTGCGAATTCTACGCTTTCCGTAATAATAAGCTCTAGGATCCTACAAATTTGCAATTTAAAAGAAGATTTATTTTGGCTACAATGACAAAATAACACTCAGAATTTGAGAAATAAGTTGGACGGATAAATTTTCAAAACCACCTTGTGAAATCTACAGACGCTATTTGAGATACAATAAACAAAAGTCATTCTAATCAAACTTCTTATATTGAGTATCGAGACAAAAATGTCTATTATCGGCCTCATCATTATTCTTGGATTTTCGTGACCAAACAAAATTGCTCTGTTTCGTTTAAGGTCAAAATTATTGGGTTGTTTTTTTTTACTGTTTCATGTGTACAGAATGACCGACCTTATCTAAAATTTAAGTCTTAGCTTTTCATCCAAATATTCACTTACTGTGGGACGTACGCAGTCCGCCTCATCTATCAATCCTCTCTCCATTGTGTAATGTTTCCATAAACAATCGCATGTTTCTGTTTTTATTCTGTAAATTTTTACAGTGACATAAAAGATATCAGCTAAGAAACCAATTTTGTATTCCGTTTCATTGTTGAAAATCTGGAAACGGACTCGACACAGGTGTGTTATAATGGTTAATGAACACTAGAATCCAATCAAGTCGATGAATTTCACCTTCTATTAAGTAATCCAACACTAACTCTCAGGTGAAAAGAGTAAACAGGAAGTACGAAAGAAATCCTTTGGCTCTGAAACGTCACAAAAGACAAAATTCTATTACGCTTGATAGAAACAATAAGTGTTCTATGGATTTTGTTTTGGTAGCACGATGTACAGCGTTCGTTTTAACACTGATATGTTTTGAAAATTTGTTTCTAGTGAGAGGCCCAAATGTAAAAATATGCCATAAATATGTATTATTCAATCAATTATATTCATTTTGACTGTTCAGCTTGTTATGTGCTTTATTTTACTATTGTTAATACAATGCAAGACTCAAGACACTGGTTGTTATAAGCGCCCAACAAAGAGGGAAAAGCGTCCTGGGTATGACGATAAACTACATCCGCGTCCTGGGTAAAACGATAAACTACATCCGCGTCCTGGCCAAGACGAAAAAATACGTCCAACAGCAAGGCCTCTGATAACACGTTTTTGAAAAAATAATATTACCAGCTATACATTTTTTAGGAAAAAAATATTAACAGAAATAGATTTTTGACAAAAAAAAATATTATCAGGAAAAAAAAGTTGTCGGCATTAAATGACCCATTGAGGTTGATATGCCGTAAAAAAACAAACCAAATCAAAGAGGGAATAAACCGTACATATTATGAGGACATGTAGGATAGATAATATTTGGCCCTAGACTTGAAGATGTTAAGATTAAAGTAATCGGGGAAGTAGTCTGTAGATTAACGTAAGATTTCTTATTAAGACGATGTCAGAATGGAATTTTCTCTTATCAATAGGATACGAAGGAAATGAAGATTAGTTAACCCTGTGAAAGGGGACAGGTGAGTCCTTAATGTGAAGACTGGACCTAGTGAAACTAAAGGACATAATGTCGTTAGAATAGTTTCCATGGAAACAGCGATAGAGTAGCATGAGACGAACAACGTTTCATATGTGCAAAAAGAGATTTCAGGCTGGAATGCAATCGATCTCAAGGCCGAGCAAATGCTTTTCAACTCTCGCAAGGTTGATCGGTGAGGTTGTGGGCAGCTCCAAATTAGATGTAACATCAGCGATATTCCATTTTTGGTCTGATCTGTCTCTTGTAAAGACAGAACATGACAGGAATCAGGACTTTCAGGGGCGTGACAAGGAACCGACCATTATTTAGCATCTTTAACGACTGATAAAATGTACGAGTGACATTTCAGATACAGTGGGACTTTGGACGTTACAATGTTTTTAATACTTATCTTTCATATGAGAAACTTATTATATTCCCAAAAATTCTCTCCAAAATTGAAAATACTTTACAGACCATAAGTGTTTCTTTCTTTCTTTCTTTCTTTCTTTCTTTCTTTCTTTCTCAGTCTCTTCACATTATCTATCTATCTATCTATCTGAATCTTTTCATATCTATCTATCTATCTATCTATCTATCTATCTATCTATCTATCTATCTCAGTCTAATCCTATCTATCTATCTATCTATCTCAGTCTAATCCTATCTATCTATCTATCTATCTATCTATCTATCTATCTATCTATCTCAATCTATTCTTATCTATCTATCTATCTATCTATCTATCTATCTATCTATCTATCTATCTGAATCTTTTCATATCTATCTATCTATCTATCTATCTCAGTCTAATCCTATCTATCTATCTGTCTATCTATCTATCTCAATCTATCTATCTATCTATCTATCTATCTATCTATCTATCTATCTATCTCAATCTATTCTTATCTGTCTATCTATCTATCTATCTATCTCAATCTCAGTCTAATCCCATCTATCTATCTATCTATCTCAGTCTAATCCTATCTATCTATCTATCTATCTCAATCTATTCTTATCTATCTATCTATCTATCTATCTATCTGAATCTTTTCGTATCTATCTATCTATCTATCTATCTATCTATCTATCTATCTATCTATCTATCTATCTATCTATCTCAGTCTAATCCTATCTATCTATCTATCTATCTCAGTCTAATCCTATCTATCTATCTATCTCAATCTATTCTTATCTATCTATCTATTTATCTATCTATCTATCTATCTATCTATCTATCTATCTATCTATCTATCTATCTATCTCAATCTATTCTTATCTGTCTATCTATCTATCTATCTATCTATCTCAATCTGTCCCTATACTATGTGATAGTATTAAAAAAAAAACAATGTATGTAGTGATCGGATTTGTGGGAAAATGAAATAAAATCGATAAATAAAATAATATTAATCAATAATGATAAAAAAAAACACATTTGTCCATGATGCTACCAGTCAAGGAGAGAAAAAAATTGATCACCTCACTTCGTTTTGTCGAATGCCGTTACGTGGCGTTGCTGAAATCAAAAGGCAAAAATGTTCCTTCATTCGCACACACACACAAATAATATATTATATATATATATATATATATATATATATATACCCGCACACACACAGAAATATATATATATAAACAATATATATATATTGTTTAAAATTTCACATTATTTATAGAGGGAGAGCGTTCAGTAACAAAGATAGAATGTCTATAGTTATAGGCAGTGTGGAAATATAGGAATCAATACTTGGTCTAAAGATTGCACGGAAAAGTGAATGTGACAATCGCTCAGCGCCATGAAATCATTTTTAGAGTTTATTTTATTCTAGCATGTAATTACACGAAATAAAAATTGCGATCCTCAACCATAGTAAAAAAAAGTAAATGAGTTTAGTAACTTTAAATCTTTATATTTGAAACTAAAACTTTTCAAAAATGTTCTCACTATTTCACTCTTATATTCTAATTCCGGTAAGCTTAGCTAAACAGAGTTGTGGGTAGATTTGCGCAGGCTATTCGGAAATGAAGCAGAGAAACATTTGTATTAGAAAAAAGTGTATCAATGAAGATTCTAAAAGAAAAAAAGAAAAGAATCCTTTAATATATGTGATCGCTTTCTCTGCTTATTTTTGGAGGGGATAAAACAAATGGAGTAAACAATGACACAATAAATGTAATTCATCATATTTTAGGGTGCTTAAAAATGCAAGTGGATAGGGCAGGTCATTTTTCGACACCTTCATGTATTACATTATGATAACATTGTGATACCATTAAGAATATGTTAATACAGTTTCATATTAAAGTTGATAATTATAAGCGGGAAGAAACAAATTTTCATCTCATGATAATAAAAAAAAGTTTACCCGTTCGTAAATGTCACATTAGAATAAGAAGCGAACATGTCCATTTAGAAATGTGAATGAACAGGCGCGTCATTTAAAATCAGCGTGAAATTCTGATCAACCTGTAGCGATAGTGAACTTGAAGAACGTTGCTATGCCAAATTTGTATGTGCTCTGTGAAAAGAAAACACAAAAAAAAAATTAAAAGCGCAAATTCTTGTGAATATGTCTCTATTTGTACACAGGATCTAGAACAATTCTTACACTACAGAAAAAAAATCTTGGTTTACTGCTGTACGATCATTGAGTTAAGCAACGTCGAGCCTAGGCGGGTGACTGTTTTGGAATTCCAGTTTCTGTAAGCCTGGATGTGCGGATGGTGTAATGGAAAACAGCTCGGAATTGTTAATCGGATAGCTGAGTTTCAATTCCAGTTGGGTACATTATATTCACTTACGCGCAAATACCCTTGGGAGGGGCATGAATCAACATCTTTTCCCCTCAGCTATTAAGGCTTGTATCACTAAAACCATTATTATCTCATCCAAAGATATATTTGCGTACAAAATATTTACATTTCCATATTAAATAACCCATAGAGGTGTTGATATGTCGCTAAAGAAAAACAACCAACCAACGAAAAATCTGTATATTGGAGAGATGTTATATTATGAGAGAAAGCCTTTTGGAACCGTAACAAGAAGGTATTAACTCAGTAATCCCATAATGAAAAATCCGGCTTCCTTGAAAAATCAATATGTAATAATCCTTTTATTGTCTACCAAAATTTCATGGTAAATGAGTATATATCTTAATTACTGCGCTGAGTAAGAATTTATTTTTGATTTTTACCGAATTTATTTTTAGTAGGACACAAAGGGAAATGAGGTTAAAAAAAAACTTCCAGGCCTTGAAAATCAGCATTGTAAAAATTGGCTTGTGCCTGCGTCCAAACAGCGAGGAATTGGGAGGTAAAAACTAGGCAGCTAGCTCAGCTACTAAACGAACAAACAAACCAACAAAGGAAATCAATATTTCATCCTGCAAAGAAGAAATGAGTTTCCTAATTTTTGCGAGTGCCGGGTAGCTCAACTCGTGTGAACTGAACATAAGCAACTTCAACAAGATCTCGAATTTATTTCACCAATTCTGTCAGGAATCGAACACAGTGCACACCTACACACACACACACACACACACACAATTACACACACGAAGGAACATATAAGAAACGCTTAGAGATATAACATGTTTCGCTTTTATTCAATTTATAAACGTTTCATATTTGTTCTTTTTTATCATTCTATCGGATTCTAATCCATATTTCATCTCTATGTAAGATAATGCTTAAAATACCAGACATCCAATGTAGCAGCGCAAATATAAATAATAATAATAATAATAATAATAATAATAATAATAATAATAGTAATAATAATAATAATGAAACATCCTTAACTGGACCATAGCTAAAACATCCTTAACTGGACCATAACTAAAATGTCCTTAATTGGACAATAGCTGACATTAAGCGAATGGACGCCAAAACAAGAAAGCTTCTCACATTCCATCGCATGCATTATCCGAAAGCTGATGTTGATCGTTTGTAGATGCCGAGACCCGAAGGAAGCAGAGGATTAGTTTAACTAGAACTGTCTTATAAAACTACAAAAAATTGGCCTTCAAAGATACCAGGAAACAATATGAATATGAATATGAAAGTAGTAAGCGACTTTATTCCGTAATAAAGGAAGCCAACAAATTCAAAATGGAATTTCAAATGGGTGCAGAAATACAAGTAAAGCTCAATACACCGACTGAAGTTGCAAAATACTTAAAAAAGAAAGCAAAAGCAAATGCAACCGACCAGATACAGAAGCGATGGCAAGATAAACCGCATCATGGCCAATACTCTGCCCGTACCAAACAAGCTGACGGTAGACAAAACCCGTACCCATCGGTGGCTACGTAGTGCAGGGTTAAAAGCTGAAACTGAAGGTTTTATTCTTGCCGCACAAGACCAATGATTGTTAACTAGAAATTATCAATCAAACATGCTAAAATATTGTGTTAGCCCAAAATTCAGGTTCTGTGTTAAGTATCCAGAAACAATTGATCATCTTGTATCAGGTTGCACGGTATTGACACCCATTGAATATAAAATCCGGAATGACAGAATTGGCCTATATCTGCATTGGAAAATTTGCAACTTTTACGGGAAGGAAACTGGAAGAAATTGGTATGAACACCACCCAGACCCGGTTACAGAAATAGGAACTTTAACAATTTTATGGGACTACACAATACACACTGACAGAACGGTAAATATTGGTTTTGTTACCCGTGCGCTAATATCCCTTAAATCTTTTTCGAAATCGTCATAATTCCGTGCAAATGTATATGCTGAACTCGAATTAACAATGAAATTATAAAGAAACCTTACCGTTTTGGAGTTATTGACAAGAAAAAATCAGACTTCTTGTTGGTCATTCGTCCGCCATTACTGCCATCATGAAACCGGCGTAATAAGAAAATTTGGCCTATTTATTTCTTTTACAGACTTTCCTTTCAGAAAATTACTACGCACGGGTAACAAAACCAATATTTACCGACAGAACAATCAAAGCCAACCGCCCAGAGACGCAAACAACAACAAACAAACAAAAGATAGTGCATCCTTATTGATATGCCAGTCCTTGCAGACTGCAATGTATCTTTGAAGATCTTTGTAAAGCTATCAAAATACAAGGACGTTGAAATAGAAATCTCAAAAATGTGGAACATGAGAAGATCAACAATCCCTGTTGGAGCCGTCGAATTGATTGGAAAATATTCCAATGGACTCATTGAAGGGATTCCTGGTACCCTATCCAAAATACAAAAAGATTGTTCACAGGAGTATAGCGCACATATTACGAAAGGCTCTATCTATGTAAAATATGTGTGCGTATTTTGTTTTGTTATTTTGTTGTTTTTGTTTTTTTTTTGTTTTTTTTCCCAGTGGAAATATCATGATGCCATTTCTGACCTTAGGTCTCTGAGCAAGACCCGGAAAAAATGAGTACACATCAAAACTCTAAGAAAATACAATAATAATAATAATGTGGATTAAAACTGTATGTCTTGTGATAAATATCAGAAAACCATACACCATCTCATCTCAGGATGTTCTCTTCTTGCGCTAAATGAATGTAAAAATCGTCATGATAGAGGGGGGGGGCAATATTTATAGTGGACAATGTGCAAACACTTTGGAAAAGATTTTAATAAACACTGGTATGAACATCAGCCAGCACCGGTTACGTAAACAGAAGACATCATAATTCTATAGGATTACATCAACCAGACAAGAGACTGAAGCAAATAATTCGGACATAATCTTAAAAAGCCGAAAAGAAAAAAAACTGCCTAGTAATTGACATAGCTTGCCCAGCGGACTGTAACATAGCAAGCAAATAATTTGAAATACAATCGAAGTATAAAGACCTGGAAATCGAAATGAAAAAATGTCAAAATTGAAAACAAGAATAATACCAGTTATAATAGAAGCGCTTGAAATTATAAAAAAGGAACACAATAACACATTGAAAAAATCTCTGGAAATCCAAGCTTAAAAGGAATGCAAAAAACTGTCTTGATTACAGCTCATACACTGAGAAGAAATTTGTCCTTATAAAACTAGGAATGATATAAGAGTAAGTAAATCAAATCATGAAACGTATCCATAACAATACGCTACTACCTGCTTTAGGTTTACCCGCAGACTTGGGAAGTAGTGTCATCATAGCAGAAATCGAAATATAATAATAATAATAATAATAATAATAATAATAATAATAATAATTGCAGTTCGAAACAAAAGCTTTGGAACCTGATCCTATCCCTCACATAATCAAGGATGGAACTAACTCGAAATGCAAGATCTGCGGAAAATATGATGAAACTGTCGACAATATTATCTCAGGATGTCTGGAACTAGC